AAAAACACCAATGATAGCCTTTGCTGGAGAGGTTGTGGAGAAAGGGGTACACTCATCCATTGCTGGTGGGAATGCAAACTTGTGCAACCACTCTGGAAAGCAGTGTGGCGGTTTCTCAGGAAATTCGGGATCAACCTACCCCTGAACCCAGCAATACCACTCTTGGGAATATACCCAGGAGCGGCCCTATCAAACAACAAAAGTATATGCTCAACTATGTTCATATCAGCATTGTTTGTAATAGTCAGAACCTGGAAACAACCTAGATGCCCTTCAATGGAAGAATGGATGAAGAAAGTATGGAATATATACATATTAGAGTACTACTCAGCAGTAAAAAACAAGGACTTCTTGAATTTGCATGCAAATGGACGGAAATAGAAAACACTATCCTGAGTGAGGTAAGCCAGACCCCAAAAGAGGAACATGGAATGTACTCACTCATATTTGGTTTCTAGCCATAAATAAAGGACAGTGAGCCTATAATTCATGGTCCTAGAGAAGCTAAATAAGAAGGTGAACCCAAAGAAAAACAAGGAAGAATTTCTTAAGAGCACCAGTAGATGGCGAACTTTACTGCGAGGAACACGTGCTGTAGCCTGCGGATTGTTAACCACCCAGTGAAATTTCCTACTCAGGAAGCTAATATGAAAGCCAAACTCTTTACGCCCATTTCCTGGGAACTAAATCCCAATGATCAATTTAAATCTTATTAATGAGTCTGTTTCTAAAGCAGAAGAATACCTGTGAGTTTTTACTTCAAGTATCATGGTCACTGCAACTTTTCCACGATACTTGAAGTAAAAACTCACATGTATTCTTCTGTGCCTGGCTCACAACATTCTCTCAGTGAAAATAAAAATCATTTCAATAATTACTATGCTTTAGAAACAGACCTTCTTATTTAGCTTTTTGACAGATAATTGTTCTCATTAGTTAGTGCATATATGCTGACTGCTTCTGTAGGGAAACCTGTTAGCATCTAGGGGCACATCCACAAACCTACACAGTAGACAATGTCAGTGGTACCTTACACAAGGGGAGAAAAGGGTGAGGCTCGGACCCCCACTGAAAGCATGTCGCAGTGTGCATAGAGACAGAACAACATTTTATCGAATTTATTTCGGTAAGCCTTTCAGAATCTCCGGGGATAGCTATGAGGAAGCACATATCTGCTTCATGTGCCTGAGGTGCACACTCCAGGACAAATTCCTTGAATCACACCGAAAAATTTCTTCTTGATTTTATTTATATTTCCTGAATATTTCTTTCATCTTTAGATACATAAAGTACCCATATTCTAGTTGGGCATGGTTGCACACACCTTTAAGAAGCAGGCAGATCTCTGTGAGGCCAGTGTGGTCTACGTAATGAGTTCCTGAAAGGCCAGGACTATGTAGATATAGAGACCCTGTCTCAAAGCAAAGCAATACAAAACAAAAATTTTGGCATCCTACTGTGGCCAAAGATGACTTAATTCTTCAACAGGACACACACACACACACACACACACACACACACACACCACTAAACTCTGTTGCTCCCAATATCCATCACAGCGTTTCATTATCTTATAGCAGAGTGTTATTCTCATAAGTTGTAATTTTCTTTTCTCTTCAGTCTTTTTTTACTTACCGACCTTCAATGATTTAATCTCCTTTCTTTTCCAGCTTTTAGCATTTCCCTTCAAATAAATAGCGACGAAAGTTGTTTTGAGTTTTAGGCTTGGTCTGTTTATTTGCTGTTGCCTCATACACAGAACGCTGCGTTTTTCTTTTCTGACACATCCCTCATGAGGCTCCACTTTCCGGTCTGCTTAATGTTGATACTGATGGCATGTCTGGGGTGTTGGGATTTCTTTTTTAGTAAAATTTGCTTCTTTTTGTCTTGTTAGATCCCTGACAGAATTTCTAGAATGAATGTCTTCTTTCTGGGTTTCCCTGTCATTTTCATTCATGTTCCCCCAGAATCTTCCTGAACTTTCAATAGAGTACATTTTGAATCTGTGAGTACTTAAATGCTTTCCTCTCATCAAACTAAATTATGAGTATACTTGGGCATATAACTCTGATTTACAAATGACTTCCTCTTGTGTGTGTATGTGTGTGTGTGCATGTGTGCACACACATACACCAGCGTGAGTGTCTCACTACATATTTCAGGCTGGTATCAAAGAGAGACCTGCCTCTGTTACCAAGCACTAGGGTTATAGGCATCGTTACACATGGCCTTCTCAGGAGTTCTAAAATGTTCTATATCCTCCAGCATGCAATGCTTCAGATGATAAACTAGAAGTGTATCCAATCAATTTAGAGAGAGTCGCAAAATTATTGCCTTTCTTGGGGGCTATTACTTAAGCTGTATTTTCAAAAATGGATTCTTAGAATAGAGACGCTTTCGAGAAAATGAAGTTTGTACCCTTGGCTTCAATATATTTGCAGTGGGACATTATCTCTTTTGGTCTGTGAAATGTAGGTAGCTATTTTGTGTTCCTGTATGATGGAGAAATGCTGTGTGTGAAGTCCTGGAATGTTTAATGCAGTGTATCACATTAGATAACCAGGATTTTATTATTTTTTCATTTTTCTATGTTTTGTTTTTTAGAGCATAAAATAGGGATGCTGATTAAACAGCTAGTGATAAACCAAGAAACAGAATTCTTTTAAGTATGTGTTTCTGTTAAGCAACTGACTCGCAGATGATTTTTTAAGTGATCTAATATTTTGTAAGTCTTCCATAAGAGAAGGCAGGCATCAGAATTCCTAATAGCTGGGGGGATTAGCAGTGTTTGGTTCTCATTATTCAATTGCACTTAGACCTGAGAAAAGGAAGACACAGAAGAAATGTGGTGAAGTCGTTTTTCTTCCTGTTCACGTGTGCATGTGTGCATGCATGCATGCATGTGCATGTGTGTGTTTGCATTGTGTACTTGTGCATGTGCACAAGTGTGAATGTGGGCACAAACGTGTAGGTCAAAGACAACCTCAGATGTTTCTCCTTAGGTGTCATCTGCCCCTTTTGAGACAGGGTCTCTCATTGACCTGCTAATCATTGATTTGACTAGGTTTACTAGCCAGTGAGTCCCAAAAATCTACCTCTCTAGTGATGGAATTGTAAGTGTCTGCTATCAAACCTTGATTTTTAAAAGTGGAATCTGGGAATTGAACTTGGGTCTTCATGCTTGCAAGCCAAGTACTTCACTGACTGAGGCATCTCCCTAGCCCCATTTTAATTTCTTATTACAAATTATAAAAAACTTCTGGATCAATGAAGAATTAAAACTCAACATTAGAACATATCCAGTGATGTGTTTCGATAATGAATATGTTTGAAAAGGTGTTCTTTAATTCTACCCTCAACCATTTGTAAATTTAATCTTGATATTTTATATTTCCTTTTAGATTCATCTTGCAATAAAAACAGTACCAGGTGCCTCTCGAATTCTTGCCCAAACAATTCTACATGCAAGGGTTTTCCACAAGACAATTGTTGTTCAGACATAGACAACGATTTGGACAAAGACTGTGAAGATGTGAAGGACCCTTGTTTCTCCAGTCCCTGCCAAGGAAATGCCACTTGTGTGAACACTGCAGGAGAAAGGAACTTTCTGTGTCAATGTCCTCCTGGGTACAGCGGGCTGACCTGTGACACTGCCACTGATTCCTGTGGGGGAAACTCCTGCCAACATGGAGGCACTTGCCATAAAGACCCCGAGAACCCTGTCTGTATCTGCCCTGCTGGATATGCTGGAAAGTTCTGTGAGACAGACCACAATGAGTGTGCTTCTAGCCCTTGCCACAATGGGGCTGTGTGCCAGGATGGGATCAATGGCTACTCCTGCTTCTGTGTGCCTGGGTACCAAGGCAGGCACTGTGACTTGGAAGTAGATGAATGTGTTTCTGACCCCTGCATGAATGAGGCTGTGTGTCTCAATGAGATAGGGAGATACACTTGTGTCTGCCCTCAAGCGTATTCTGGTAAGTGCAATTACATCAGTACCCTAAATATGTGGTTGGTTTACTTTTCCTTTTATATTCAATAATATGTATGTCTAATCACTTAGGAAAACAGTCAAATTCTAGAAGGTACTAATAACTAGATAGAAAGCTTACTAAATCCTGAGAACCTAGTGAATTTGCTGAGTATGTGAGCATGTATTAATTTTTCAGTGGAAGCTCTACACAGCCGCAAGCTTAGATTCAGTTTTCACAAATGTTAAGTAGTATTCTTTTGTGTATAGATGCCAATTTTAAATAAAACCTCACTATCAATTGATGGATACTTAGTTTGCTACCATATCTTGGCTATTGTAAATAGTGTGTCAGTGAATGAGAGAAGATAATACATATTTATATATTACATATTATACATATTTTAAACTATATATTCAGTAGTGGGGTAACTTGATCACATGGTAAACTAATTTTCAGGGTTTTTTTTTGAGAATCTTCTATACTGTTTTCTAAAATTCATAATATATCAATAAAATAGAGGTCCCTTTTCCAAAAGCTTTCCCAGCATTTACTTTTGCACATTATTTTGAACACTGCCAATATCACAGTTGTAAGATAATGTCAGAGTCAGTACTCCTCTGTGATCAGAAATGTTGGAAATCTTTTCATGTATCTCTCAGTCACTTGTCTTCTGCTTCTGCCGTATTTTGGATAAAACTAGAAGACATTATGTTAAGTGAAGTCATGCAGGCACAAAGGGCCAGATCCAGGCATGAAGGGCCAGTCCTATGTGGAATCTAAAACAACTGACACAAAGAATAGGGTATTGAATGGTGGCTGCCATCGGCTAGAGCATGGACAAGGAAAGGGAAGATGTTGGTAAATGAGTACAAGGGGACAGCTGGGGAGTAAATGTTAGGGTTCTATTGCTGAGGACTATACTTGGTTATACTGTATATTTCAAACAACAATAAGAAGAATTCTAAGTATTCTCATCACAGAACGAAAAACAGTAAACGCTTGTACTGATTAGCTTGATTCGGTCAATAAATAGCACATACACACATTCTAACATTATGTCCATAAAAATCTACAATTATTTCAATTGATAATAAGGTAAAACTTTAAAACAACAAGAATGACAAGTACCTTTAGATTCAGTCTATGGACTTCATGGAGTCACTTTCAGAACCAGATAGTTCTGCTTTTCTATCCCGTCTATTTCTTCAGTCCTGTCTTAGCCCTACCCTCTATGGCCCAAAGCCCAATACTTCATGCAGCCTATTAGGAAAGCAGGGTACAAATCGGTAGGTTCTGGTGCTTAAGTGTGCTCTAGCAGATAAATGGCAGAAAGCCAGTTCTTACATCATCGTTTAGAAGACAATAATAGTACATCACATCAGTTGCGTATGAAGTTTCAAGGATGGTGAATAAACCATCCTTTGACTGTATCCTTGGAGCCGAGTAAACTTAGCCAACTATGAGGAGTCCTGATCCTTATGACCTTATATGTATTTCATATAAATTTATTTTGTGATTACATTTTAAATGTGGCTCATAAAAATCTGAGTTATAAAAATCTGCCTGGTTGCTTAGAAAACAAGAGAAAAATAAAGCATTATTGGAATGATACCATTTTATCAGTGAACTTGTTACATTTCTATTTATCAGGCAAAGAACATTGGTTGTTTTGAGCCCAGAACAGACATCATGCAACAAACAGTATTGTAGAGAGAGGTGTATTGTCTGTAAAATTTCAAAATTTTCCATTTTTGAATATATTCTTGACATTCTTTATGTCTAAATTTAGGCTATATAAAAGATTTTAATTAATGTTCATCCCTAAATATAACATTTATCCCATCCCTTCTAATGCTCAGGGAACATTTAGAAAATGGGTCAGAGAGTGAATAATTGCTGAAAGACAAGGAGAAGGGCTGCAAAATGGCATCTTCTGGATAAGACACAGCCATGAGAATTGCAGACTCACGGCAGTTGGAGTAGCCTGGGCTAGGTCAGCATCCAGACAGGGACTCTGGTGGCCTTATGCCTCACTGCTTCTCACTGCTGAACTATTTGCTCCCAATAGAATCAGGAAGAGCTTGAGCCATTGTTTTCATTTGTGTTCCCACAAGTAACCCCACCAGGTTCTAATGAATAGGTCACCTGTCGAAGTAGAGTAGCCGTGTTCTGGTAGCCTATTTTGTCTCTCATCCCTGAATACCAATTATCCAGAAATGTGGAACAGAAACGTCCAGATCCTATCTTCAGAGGGTCAAATTTAATTGATAATATCTAAGAATATCTAAGCATGGGAGTCAGAAATTAAGTTCATGTGAACTTAACATAGAGACTTTGGTTGTTGGTTTACATCATAGCTGTCCCCCCAATACTGATGTTCGTGGCAGTCTGGACCAATTACCAGAAATCCCAGAGAAGATGGGTAGAACCAAGAGAAAGCCAACGTTGATGAGGGAGAAAGGAGAGCATGAACACTCGACATTGATGTTCTTGTGTTCCCTGACTCTACCTAGATCTTCTAATGAATCTTGGACACTGTTACAGTGACCCAGCTGCTGTGTGCCATATCTGAGTTTAGAGTGAGAATAAAGAACCGGGTTTACAGAGTGGAAAAAAACAACACTGTGTGCTTGTGAGCCGCAAAGCAAGAAAAGGAAGTAAATTTTAAAAGACAGAGAGTTAGGATGGGGGAAAGAGCCCCAGCATGTGGAGAGGGTTCACGCTGCATGAATCCTCTGTGCACTCCATTGCACTTCACGAGCTGTGATTCATTGGCTGCGAAAATGAGCTGAGCCTGAGCCAAACTGAAGCCTTAGGTGAGAGTCTGTTTGCATGAACATCAGCTACAGCTGAAGCTCAAGTGAGTACTTAAAGGTTTCTTTGGCGAAAAGGACTTTGACCTGGAGCATTTGTCTAATTTTAGTTTAAGTTTATGCAACAAATCTTTATGTAATTGAAGTTCTCCTTATATTGATGAAATTAATAGTGTATACCTTTTCCATTAAGATGCTTGCAGTATTAGAAAACTGAGTTGTAGTAGGGCAGGGAAAAGCCAATTGGATAATAAAACAATTGGATAATAAAAATCAAGTAAAAACATGTATCGAAATTCTCAGTGAAAGAAACCTACAGGAAAATATTCCATTCCTTCATTATAAAATAAATATTTGAGGGGCTATGGAGATGGCTCAGTTGGTAAAATGCCTGCCAGAGCAAGCATGAAAACCTGAGATTGGATTCAGAGAACCCTGGTAAAAGTATGTGCAATTCATAGTCGCTGTCTGTAATCCCACCCTCCCTAGAGCTCCTTGGCTAGCCAACTCAGCCAATTGGTGAGTTTTAGGTTCAATGAGAGACCCTGTCTCAAAAAACAAAACAAACAAAAAAAAAAACAAAAAAACAAAAAAACGTGGAAAGGCATCCAGGAAGAAACTCTGTGTTGGCTTCTGGTTCCTACAAACCTATATGTGTGTACATACATAATACATATAAAAACCACCTACATACACGCAAAAAATAAGTTATGAAATGATGGATGAATGAATAAATTAAAAATATATCTTTAGTATATAAATATTTATATTTATTTCATAAATAAAAATGTTGTATTTTAAGAATGAAATTTAGTTTATTGTTTAGAAAGTGTAAAATTTTAGGGTCTTACCTAGAAGAGTTATTGTGATGATAAAGGAAAAGGCAGCCTTGATAGTGACCAGGAAGAAGGCTCACTTACCATTTTTCAAAGAAAGAATATTTTCACACTATTTTTACCTAGGGAAATGTTGATGCCTCTAATAAAAACATGTGCTGAAATTTCCAATGGCACTTTCAACATAATGAACATATAACGTGTACCAACGTCTCTCAAACTTTAGCATGCATCCAACTCGCCTGAGGAATTTGCTGTGGAAATACAGTATTTGATTCCACAGATCTGAGAAGAGCCTCCAGTCCCCATGTGATGCTAACATTGCTGGTACAGTGTCATTGTGACAGGATCTGGGCTCACCTAGAAGACAAGCTTCCAGGCCATTTGTCATGGATTGTTTTGATAAAGGTTACCTTCTGACCATGCTTGTGAGGGAATATATTGATCAAGGAAAATGAGGTGGAAAGATTCATGATAAAGTGGGTGACACCATTTTGTGGGGTTGGGTCCTGGATGACAATAACAACAACAAAAAAGCTAGCTGAACTCAATGTGTTCAATATGTTACCTCTCTTTGCTTCCTGACTGCATATATAATATGTCTAGTCACCTCAAGCTTCTGGTGCTATGGTGGACTGTACCCTTGAACCGGAAGCCACAAAAACCCTTCCTTCTTTAAGTTGCTTTGGTCAGGGTAATTTGTCACAAAAACAAGAAAAGAAGCTAAGACAACCACACAAAAGCAAGTGATTACTCCCATGACATCCACACTGCTGTTGTAGCAGTGGGTATGTCTTAACTGGCCACTCATTATTGTAGCTTGCAGAGATCTTAACTGGATATAAGTGTGGCTGATGTTAATCACTATGAAAGCTGCACATTAGAAATGAAGCTCTCAGGTCAGTTATAACTCGATTTCCTCATTTTCTGACTTGGGTATGTGGTATCCTCAGTAATAGGGTCTTACCACCATTACTAATTATGAGTTTTCTGACCTCCGTGGATATGCCACATGAAACATGTTAATCTGAGTATCCAAAAGTAATCGCAGTAAATGAAAGGAAACATTCAGCCCGTGTTGCTCTGGGTCTCAGCTAGCTCCGAATGATTGTTTCTAGTTCTTTCCATTTACCTGAGAATTTCATGATGCTGTTTTTCTTAATGGCTGGATGATACCCCATTATGGAATTGTGCTACATATTTTATTATCCATTCATCAGCTGGTGGGAGTCTAAGCTGTTCTCATTTCCTGACTACCATGAGCATAACAGCAATAAGCATGAATGAGATGATATTTCTCTACTAGGATTTGGAGTTCGTTGAGTACATGCCCAAGAGCGGTGTAGCTGTATCATAAAGTAGACCTATGTCTATCTTTTTGGAGGCTCCACATAACTCCTCCCCAAGGAGGCTGAGTGATTTTGCACATCTGCAATCAGTGAATAAGCTCCCCCTTTCCTCATACTCATTTGCGATCATTTTTAAATCAGCCATTCTGACTGTGTTTGGGTAAAATCTCAAGGAAGTTTTAATTTGAATTTTCCTGATAGCTCAAGACATTAAATATTTTAGATTTTTTCTCAGCCATTTTATTTCATCTTTTGAGAGCTCTCTGATGCCCTCTTCCACTCTCTTTTTCAACATATTACTTGAAATCTTACCTAGGACAGTAAGACAAGTGAAGGAAATGAAGGAGCTATAACTAAGAAAGGAAGAAGTCCAAGTAAGCTTTATTGGCATTCTGGTTAAAATGTTGTTGTTGCATGCATGCGTGAGGGTGGACCAGAGTGTTTACAGCAGCAACAGAACTGAGATCTACCTGCACTCTGTGCATAGACACTCATCTCATAGACAAGCCTTAATAACTGTGTAGTGGATTTACATACGGAGCCCATAACTAGGAAACAATTCTTCTTCTGAAGAAGCATAGAATGCATTGGGATCACATATATTGCACGGAATCTGAAATTTAGCATAATTAACCTGGAGCACAGTGATCTTCAAAGCATGGGCTCTGCAGATAATGGGCAAGGTGTTGAGGGTGGTTTGTCACAGTCATCTTTCTCGTGTCTTGTGCTCTCTGCCTGCTGCAGTGAGTGATGCGGTCAGCCCGTTGTGTGAGACCTGCTCCACACTGATAGCGTATGATGTGTGTTATCTAGTAGCACAGAAATGTTAACACGGATCCCCAATTGTCAAAAGGTACACAATAAGGGACAAATATCTCCAAATGTGTATCATAAGTTTAGGACAGTCCTTGAGAACACATGATTTGTTTTAAATGTTTGTCAAAGCCATAAATTGACTTCCTTGCTCCTGTGGAACACTACATTCAGCTTTACTGAAGCATCTGGAAATTCTGCCCTGGTTCACCAGCTCATTGTTCAGGGGGGAAGGAACAGATTACCATACAGTTGCAACAAATATCCATTGAAAATTAGTTGATCATATCCTTTGTTCAAAAATATATACCAAATACCACAGAAAATAAGAGACTCTGACACTGAAGAAGTCACCATTCTGTAGGCAGAGGAGTAAGAAATATGATAAATACATTGATATTATCAGGCATTTTGGGTGGATGGTGAGGTAGCACCAGAGGCTTAAATAAGCAGTTAAGTGTAATTTCCAGAATCTTGCTCCACTCAACCCAACTCTTGGGAAGTAGAGGGTAATGAATGAGGCATTGCTAGTAAGGTCTCATCCATGTGGGGACAGATCAGTTCATTGCAAGCACACACAGCAGGGAGTATGCTTCCATCTGTTAGAAGCTGCAATTGACTGTTAGAGAAAACTTCACTTTTCTGAAGATGTTAGGAGAAGCTATTAAAAAACTTTCTGAAAATATTGGCATAATAATATTTGTATTTTTTAGGGATTGCATATTAAGTGGGGAGGAGGTAGTATGGTTAGGGACACCAGTAATGAATTCTGAGGGTCACAAAGAGAATAGTAAATGAGAGTGGGCCTAATGCTATTGGACAATTTTCCATTTTTACTGATAGAATGCTTTTATTCTCAACAAAATAAAAGTTAAAAAAAAACACAAGACACTATTGGAACATTTCTACTGAATTTTAGATCAAGAAAAGAGAACAAAATCAAGCCGGGCACTACCTCGGAGCCACTGTGAAGTCTCTTGATGTTTTAATGCGTGATTTGTTATCCTGGATTAGAGGCACAGTCGTACAGAATGGGTAAGCACAGACAGTCCGTTTCTGTGCTGTTAAAGTTTCTATACAAATCAACCAGAACACACAACCAGTGACTGCCTGTGCTCAGACACCAACCCAGCCTGCCTGAGCTTTTACCCGCTCTTCTGTATGCGGCCGAACCAAACCAAGTGTTTCAAAATAATGAAAGAAAATAAAACCCACAGTGCATTTTAGTATTCCAACAAAAGTACAGTTAACAATAACTTTGCTCTAAAAATACCTTATTTGTTTCCACAGACCAAAAACACCACAAGCTGTTGCAGGCAGCAGTTCTCTCAAGCGACAGCTGCTCTGCTCTCCGCAACTTCCCACAAGCACACAGAGTTAAGAGCAATTAGAGTAGAAGAGGAAAATTATTTTGGGTAACATAGCATTTGACAAGTGCTTTAGTAAATAAAGTATTGCCAAGCAGCTAAAATATTTTCACTTTGCTAAAACTTTTCTGGCTTCGTGTGCTGGCTTTTCTCAAAGGTGTGAACTGTGAGTTGGAAATTGATGAGTGTGGATCCCAGCCCTGTCTGCATGGCGCCACATGTCAGGATGCTCTCGGGGCTTACTTCTGTCACTGTGCACCTGGATTCCTTGGAGACCACTGTGAGTTCAACTTTGATGAATGTGCCAGTCATCCGTGTCTCCATGGAGGTCTATGCGTGGATGGAGGAAACGGGTAAGTGTTCCATGGATGAGTGATGGGCTTCCAGAGACTAAGCACTATTCTATAACTGTCGCAAATTTCAAGTTCTCACAGCCTGCATTTGTTGCAAGTTACACCAAGTAATGAAAAGTTGCAGCATTCTGATTTACTAAATATATGTATATATACATATATTTAATAAATATATACTAAATAAATATAATATATATGTGTATTTAGTGGACATCTGTACTGAGTGAAGGTTTTCCAAGACACTCTTGTAATGGTTGAGAACTACATACATCATAGAAAAGTACCAACACCTAAACTCCATGTAATAAACCTGTTACAGATAAGGAAGATGCAAAAGCAAGGCTATCAATTGTTAAAATTGTGAACATAAGGTTTATATTTATGAAAACAAGCAAATAAATCAAATGGAAAAATAAATCCTTCCGAATTCTTCTGTAAAGGCTGCTGCAAGAGCACCAATATTAAATTGGTCTATCTCGGCTTTCCAGGTGTTTGGGGAATTGAGTGAATTTATTAGAGAAAGCGTAATTATCAAAAAGTATAACTCAATTCACCTCCAAATATGAGTCTCTCATTGGAATTTGTGGAAAGGGCAACACTACATTATATCTTTGTGTGATTAAATATAATTAATTTGTATAGTGATAGCTGAGTTCACATCAAATAATATAGCCCTATAAAGAACTTCTCGTACTTGCTTAAGCCATTAATACAGACTTGTAAGTGCAGAATAATGTTTGATAGCATTAGACCAGGAATTCCCTCATTTGATAGCAGTCCTATGGGAATGATGGTGAGCATTACTGTTCCCAAATTGTAATATATGCCATTCCTTAATTTTAATAAGGAATCTGGAGTAAAGAGACATTAGACGCTCCCATGAGTTCATATAATTAATTTCTTGTAAAAGTAGAAATAAAATCATTTTTCCTCCTATTAATAAATCAGACATGGGGCTGAGGATTTAGTTCAGTGGTAGAGTATATGCCTGGTGTGTGCAAGGCTATGGGTTCAATTCCCAAGAGCACACAAATAAAGAAAGTCATAACTTACTTCAAATCTAATTTCAAAATGACTAGAACTCAAAACGAATGTAATGAAAGGCATGTGTGCTTCAAATATGTCCATAAGTTAGTTAATAAGATAATAAGATTTTTGAATCGAGCAGAGAGAGTGAAAAATTCCTTTTAAAAATATGAAGCACAATTCAAATCATATTCTACGTCTTGATTTCACCTTTCCTTGCAAACAATCAATGAATTTATGAAGGGAGTCTGTACTCCTGGCGGCAGCTGACCGGATACCACAGAGACAGGAACGCTAGAATGACTGAAACTTCCAAGGGAATGAACGCTCTCTGCCATGAGCACTGTTTTCTCTAGAAAGCATCAACGCAGAAAACACAGGGGTTTTGGTTCTGATGGGAAGGCTTACAGGCTGGAAACCTTCATCCTTTATTCTCTACTTTTATTTTGAGACAAGGTTTCTCTGTAGCTTTGGAGCCTGTCCTGGAACTCACTCTGTAGACCATGCTTACCTCAAACTCACAGAGACCCACCCGTCTCTACCTCCAAAGTGCTGGGATTAAAGGTGTGCACCACCACCACCCAGCTTATTGGTGGCATGGTTCATTTCTTTGTTTTACTGTTATGTCTCCTAATATCTAATTTTTGTGAGGATCAACCAATGTGGTTTGAGTTTATTTTTACACAATAAGATTAATATCTTTCCTATAATTCATGAGGGAAAATTGATTCTTGCATACCAAAGGAGCTTTCAAATGTGATCTCCATTTCTAGAGACTTGGATGTGCTCCTTTAATATAGGACATGGGCCTCTAATGTCTCACATAGAATAGATTACTACTTTTTAACATCTTATTAATCATTAGCCTTCAGGTGGCATTTTTCTTTTAAGTATTTATTTGCTTTTTAATTATGTGTATGTATGTATATGTGTGTTGGTGAAATGTGAACGGAAATGCAGGTGTTTAAGGAGGCCAGAGGTAACAGATTCCCTGAAGCTGGAGTTACAGGTGGTTGTGAGCTCCTCACATGGGTACTGAGAATCGAACTCAGTTCCTTTGGAAGAGCAATGCATGCTCTTAACAACTGAGCCATCTCTACAGGCCATTATTAATATTAGTAGTAGTAGTAGTAGTAGTAGTGTGCGTGTGCATGTGTGTGTGTGTGTGTGTGTGTGTGTGTGTGTGTGTGTGAGGATGGGTGCCTGGGTCACAGGACACATGTGGAGATTCTGGAATGACAGCTCCATGAAGTTCATTTCTTCCTTCCTCATTATGTAGGTTTGGGAATTGAACTCAGATCCCCAGGCTTACACAGCTAGGACCTACATGTGATGGTCCATCTTCCTGGCCTTATTTTTTTTTTAATATTTTTAATCAAGCAAAATCATGAACAGATTTTTCCCAACTATCTGAGACATAAAAACTATGTCCCTTGCAAGCTGCCATTTCTAGAGTCTTAAGTAGCCCAGTATCTATGTGTGGTGATAAATAAACACAGCCATAGGGAATGGTTTACAAGTGTTCTATGATTGAAGCATTCCCTCAAAACACCCTTCTTTTTCACCTAAGAATGCAGATCCACTTTTAATTTTCATAACACTAAATCCTTGAGTAGACATCACCTATATTAAGAACCTACTATTTATAAAAATTCAACAATTCATGCCATCAAACTAAATTTTGAGATAGTTTTAGTCCATAATAATTGGAGATAGAAAAACTAAAATATTCATGTAATTAAAAAGCAAAATACACCATAATCACAATATACTTAAGAGCTCTTCTATTAAAAAGAAAATTAATTTTTATAATAGACCTTATTTGGTGCAAATCATTACCTACTAACTTAAATGCTAATAATTATATTTACTATACCATTTAATAGTACTACCTATTAAATGGTATAATTTAATACCTACTACCCGGATATACTAGAGATGATGTTTTTATTCTTTTATATATATTTAATTATCACTATGATCTGATGACCTAAGTCTTCAGTTTATGTATGCTGAAACTGGCTTCCAAATAATGGTGCATGAAGTTTTACTGTCATTTTTAAATCAATAATGACAAAGCGTTGTTATGGAAACACACAACCATTCAGGTCTTCAGAGACAACTCCATTGTACTTTTGAGGTAAGTATGAAGCTATGCCATTGGGGTCAGGTTAATGAGCAAATAGAGACAGAATAAAGAGGGTTTATTTCAAGATGACCAAGAGTTGACATGAGATTTTCGTTTACTATCTAGCTACCACTGCGACTGCACAGGCAGTGGATTCGCGGGGATGCATTGTGAGACCTTGATGCCTCTTTGTTGGTCAAAGCCTTGTCATAATAATGCTACCTGTGAAGACACTGTTAACAGCTATGTTTGTCACTGCTGGCCTGGTAAGTGCCAATTACTTTATCTTTTTTTTTCTTTATATTCAGACTAGAAACACATTGCTTTTAGAAATTAAACTAAAAAGTTCTTTCCACCAAAGGCTTTAAGCCAACACTTTATTCAACTTTCTTATTATATTGAATTCTTCATTGCCTACACAGAATTGATACTATACTTTAAACTGTGTAAGACAAGGGACCACAGCACCAGTGACTAGAACCCTCTAGTCAGAACACAGCAATGGAAGGTTGAATTTCACATAGCTTTCGTGAAGAAACATTCACTAGGATGGTTTCCTTTTATCTACCTATTCCAGACACCAGAAATACAAAAAAAAAATACTCCAATGTATGAACTTTCTAAGAGTTTATCTTGTCTTTTGGACAATTCATGCAGTTAGTCAATCTCATAATTCATGTAGCTAGTCAACCTCTCATAATCTGGGAGCGAAAGGGGCATATCTAATTCTAATAGATATACAGTATACAAAAATATAAGTTTTTGGTACATTAAGATACTATAATGAGCTTATATTAAAGTGAATATTACCATTTAGAAAATATGCCTGCATATGAATCATAAATGGACTCACTGACAAGGAACTTCAGATAAATATCTTAGGCACTCTTCAGATGGATTTTCACTTATAAAAGAAAGGTGTTAATAATAATATCCACCTCCTTGAGTTGTTTTAGAAAACAACTCCAGTAATAAATATAAAGATCTTAGCTCAGCTTAAAACATAAAAAACTCAATAAACACTAACTAGTTGGTAAAAATAAGAGATTGATCATTCCGTGCCCTGACTAGCACCAAGCAATACAGCTTACTTTAGGAAGGAAGGGAGGGAGGGAAGGAAGGAAGAAGGGAACGGAAAGAAAGAAGTCAAGTGCTAGGAGCACGTAGAAAGGGACCTGTCCTGCTGTGGATCTCTGGGTGATTGTTCAAGACCATTTGACCATGTTGAGTGGTGTCAGTAAGATGGAAATGGGACAAATGGCAGCCAGATCTCAGAGATACTTGTCTGACTTACAAATTATGAGTCACGGAAGTTACATACTGTGGTGGTTGGAAAGAAAATGACCCCCAAAGGGAATGACACTATTAGGAGGTGTGGCCTTATTGGAGTAGGAGGGGTCTTGTTGGAGGAAATTTGTCACTGTGGAGACAGGCTTTAAGTTCTCATGCATGTTCAAGATAGTCACAGTGAAACAGACCATGTCCTTTTGCCTCCAAAATGTTGGACTCTCACCTTCTTCTCTAGCACCATGTTTGCCTGCACGTCGCTATGTCCCACCATGATGATAAAGGGCTGAACTCTAAGCAGGCCACCCCAATTAAATGTCTCCCTTTCTGAGTTACCTTGTGCATGGTGTCTCTTTACAGCAATAGTAAACCTAACTAAGAGACATAAACTAACCTATTCATTTACAAAGAGGTCTCTTACAGCTTAATGGAAGCTGATTGAGTGAAATAAAACTGAAGATGCAAGAGATTTTGAAACAAAACTGAGTCACTTGCCAGAACTAAGACAGCACAGCACAAACTCAGGAGGACATTTCAAAAGTGGAGCCCAGCTGGTAGAAGTAGGGCACAAGAAGTAGTTCTTCAAAGATCATTCCTAATCTTTAGCCTTTACCACCACAGGTTCTTCTAACCCCTAACAGAGACACTTGCCCCATGCCTTCTCCTACTGTGATGGGTTGGAAGCCTCTGATTCATCCAAAAGATCTCCTTTGTCTGTTATGTTGTTCCTGCAAGTATTTTCATCACATCTATGAGGAAGTCATTAGCACAGTGGCCAGCAGGGTTCTGTGGGAGGTAAATGACATGGGAAGCTTCAGCATGTTAAGAATCTGGGTTTCCATCTGAGGTCACTGTGTAAATGGTGGGTCACCCTAGATAGAAAAGTAAGAATGTCTTTATACCCTATGCTTACTGTTGTAAAGAATGAGATTTAATACTAGAAGTTACTTTATAAGTTAGAAAGGACTGTAAAAGTTGTGCTAAAAAACACATTGGTAAGCATCATGGCTACATTTGTCTTTAGTCCTTATTTCAAAAGTAAATAATTTGCAGAAGTATCCATCAACTTAAATGTTTATCACAGAAGTTTTCCTGAAACTCAGATGTTATCGAATATGTGGAAAAAACAAAACAAAAAATAAAAATCACAATCCCAGAGGATCTGATTTGGTATCATGTTGTTTCTTTGTACAGAGATTTATAGGGAAACTTGTTAAAAATATTGATCGTGGTCTTGACTGAAGGAATCTATTTATATCTGGTTAAAGAGAACAGCAACTAAAATCCCCCCAGAGTCTTGGCCGTGTGGACAGGACTGGCAAACACATAAATCAGCACCCCCCCCCGCCACCCTCCCAATTGAATGAGATAATGCATGAGCCGGAAAAACAGGGAAGGATTTATTATAGTTCTAAATCTCTTCCTAACTTGGCTGATGTGTGAGCTTGAGTCTTAGAACACAAACAATATTACAAAGAGCCATGTTCTTTTTTTCAGAAAGTCCTGACGCATAGCAACCTATTGTGAGAACTACTGTTTAATAACATTTAAAAAGCATGTAAGCATGAAGCAGAAAATATTTCAAAAGTGGGCATTCTTGACGAAGAGCTTCCGAGGGCTCGTTAAGGTGCTTAGAATTGTGAGGTCTCTATTTGACATGTTTCTTATTTCCTTTATCCAATGCTCAAGTTTCTTCTTCAGATTGCTGAGAAAGGGTCCCAAGGGTTACATGAAATAAATATATTAGACTGTGGTACAAGAGGATTTATATTGTGGCTATTATTTGAAATAAGATCCACTCAGGTTTTTATTAGAGCTACAAAATGAGCAATAATATTGCATTCTAATTACTGGCTCATCAATAGTTAATTCGCTAGTTATGCACTGAGCCAGTTATAATTTAAGTTGTTGTCATTTTAACCATTAATTAGTACTATTTATTCTCACTCAGTCATTGATTGAAGGTCAACTATTTCTGTATTGCTGGGTAGTGGAGTGTTGAATAAAATACACACAGTCCTGTTTATGTGGAGCCAACAATCTGTTGAGGCAGTCAACTATACATGCAAGTAAACACATCGTTAAATGTTGTCAAAAGAGCAATGGAAGAAAAAGACTGAGGAACAGGACAGGAAACCAAGGCATCTTATTGTTGTGGTGATCTGAACAAGAGAGAAAAGGATTGTGAGGTCAAGTCTGAAAACAGAGGAAAAGTTGACCAAGTAAAAGCATGGGAGAGAATTTCCCAGAAGGGGAGGGAGCATTGTTAAGGCTGTGGGGTGGAAAGCATCCTTGGGGAGGAAGTGACAGAGCTGGATGAGGAGGAGTGGTGGGATGAAAAGAGCCCATATACTGAGGGAGCAGTTACATTGTGTTAAGGTTGAATTTTATCCTGTGTGAAAACAAGAAGTCATTGTTATTAAAATGAAAAAGCGAGATGGTTTAATTTTCAAATTGTGTGATTTAGGATAAATATAAGGTTCTCAGTGAACTTAAGGTGACATTACAGATGTCACTTGTCTTGTGAATTGGTGTCCCTGGAAAGACTCCATACATGTGTCTCACCAGCTTACAAAGTAGCTGGTGCTATTTCTGTAGCCACCAACATCATGTCCGGGTTCCACTAAATTTACATTTGGGGATTAGCACTCCACACATTACAAGCAAATAAGAAAATCCTCTTGAGGCATAACACAGGAAAGAGATTCAAAACATTTTAAGTACCAAATATACCCAACTAGGTGGTTACTAGAAAAAAACGGAACTACAGCAACGTATTTGGGAAAACTTACATTTGGCAATGGAAAACGCCTACTAGGCATTCAGATCCACTTGCTGGTGATATGTCAATTGTGCAGATACTCTTGTGGCATCTGTCAGTTTTGGCTACAATGATAAAAGAGAATATAACGGATGAGTTCCGTTTTCAGGTCTCAACTCAAGACTTTACCCAGACACACAGAACTGCATTGTAAAGTGTGTAAGGGGTACACTCATCCATTGCTGGTGGGAATGCAAACTTGTGCAACCACTCTGGAAAGCAGTGTGGAGGTTTCTCAGGAAATTCGGGATCAACCTACCCATGGACCCAGCAATACCAATCTTGGGAATATACCCAAGAGAGGCCTTATCACACAACAAAAGTATATGCTCTACTATGTTTATAGCAGCATTGTTTGTAATAGCCAGAACCTGGAAACAACCTAGATGCCCTTCAATTGAAGAATGGATGAAGAAAGTATGGAATATATACATATTAGAGTACTACTCAG